ATGTGTAATCTTCTCAGGAGATTACAACACCCCCCGCCCCCCCCCAATCATCTAGGAATGCTCATGTTCTGCTTGCAGTATGAGGGAATACAATGCCCTATCACTTCTGCTTTGCTCTGACATCTTTTTTTTTCCTCAACTGACACGGCTTTAGAGGGCTTAATTTATGTAAGGCGTCCCTAGAGTTGTTATTTTTATTACATCAACATGTATTGTGTATGACAGGTCACGCAATTTATTTGATTTTAAAATAATGTTCTACATCTAGCATGCATACATAAAACACTTAGATAGTGAAAAGAATGCTTAGATGATCATGGTGCTGTAAATGTTTATAAAGAAATCTGTAAGCATCTTGAAATGAGAAGATAAATGCTGTACAAGCTTACATACAAACAACATATTTCATAACCCCATGTTGGGAAACCTAATTTATAATTGTTGACATGCTAGGCCCTGTGGGCTATTCCCATGCCAAACGTCTCAGTCATTTGTGATGTCTGCAAATGTAATGTCAGACAAAACCTCCGGCAAATCTGTTTGAAGGATGTCTGCCAGCTGTGTTTCCACTGTACACTCTTAGCCTTGTGTTTATCAACTTCCGAGGAGCTCAACAATTTCAATCCAAGAGGCAAAGTTAACTGTTCTTTTCAAATATTATGAAGGTCCTGCAAAAAGATGGAGTAGGATAACTGTGAAACAAGTCCTCAGATCCATTACTTTGATGATTTTTATTATGTTTATTAATGATAGAACACTACAAATAAACCATGTGGAATCGTGTTCATATTTTTGGGGTCTGCGCACCTGATATGTAAAGCATATTTCACAGTGTTTCAGTATCAACTATGATCTACCTATTAGATTAACAAATCAGAAATAGACTGTGTCTGAGCTCTGGGATGATTATCATAAATGAAAAATCACTTGCAGGCACTTTTAATATGCTGTAGGATGTTCCTCTCTGCTCCACAGTTGTTGCCTGTAGCTACATATCTGCTACCCAGCTGTGAGTTGCAGCTGTCACTGGCTTCAGAAGGCACACAATCCTTATGCTGTTGTCTAAAACCTCAGGGCAAAAACATCTATACACAGACTACATAGACACACATCAGGGGGGCACTTCTATTAGTTGTACATCATAAATAAACAAACATAGCAATGAAAGGAGAGCTCAGGAGTGATGAACCCAGCACATTAAATTAAAATATATAATTCCCATGTCTGTGCAAAGTTGAGTTCTCCTACATATGAAGCTGTGATTGAAATATTACTTGAGTAATTATATGTATGTTCTATAGGCAAGACTTTCAAAGCTCACTCTATTGAAAGCAATCGCATGCTCCAGAAACCATTCTTCTTCCTGCAACTTTATTAGAAAATTGGAATAAAAATACTTTCAGAATAAAATATATGAATTTGATTTTCTTTGATGGACTAAATTCAAACTGTGCAGGCTCTAAGTAGCACAGCCTTCATTATTGTGTGCACAGCTTAACCTAAGGTTCTAAAACTAGAACATGACCATGTCCAGTCAGTTATTATAGCCTCAACAAATGATACCGTTTGTGTCTCCACTATCTCTCCCATAATACAGATGTATATCCAGACCACAACCCTGACCATCTCTGTAAGCCTCAGTGCATCAGTATCCTTGGGAATGCTCTACATGCCTAAGGTCTACGTGGTTCTCTTCCATCCAGAGCAGAACGTACCTAAGCGCAAGCGCAGCTTGAAGGCTGTGGTCACTGCAGCCACCATGTCCAACAAGTTCAACCCTAAAGGCGGCCTGAGGCCCAATGGAGAGGCCAAGTCTGAACTCTGTGAAAGTCTTGAAACACAAGGTTGGTATCATGCCTGATGGAGCAATAAAGAGAATGAATGAAATGTGTTCCAGTGGACCTGAAACAGGAGTTGATTTTATGCTGATGTACTGAGCTATTTCTTTGTAAAATAATAGCAGTTATAGAATACACATGTCTACTCTGAAATAATGAACTCCTTTTATGTGAACATAATTGATGGCAGTGTTATTTTGCACTTCAGCAGTTTGGGAAATTAGCAAGCCTTACATGAGCATGCAAGAAATTAGAGTGCCATTTCAGTGCCAACTAAAGTGGTGTTGTACTATGGCGTCTTTTTGAACGTGAGCCATTGCAGATGACATAAACAGAACTGTGTGAATAATTACAACTCATAGGAGTGATTGCAAATTAGCCTCAAGCTAATATAGGACTGGGGTTTTCCCAGTTCCACAATATAATTATTTCCTTGATCATCAATGGAAGGTCAATGTAGTTGTAGCCTAGAGTTTATTAATATATCTTACACAGCAAATTACTCTTCTGAGATAAAGCAGTAGTATCCAGTAGTATTTTATAAAAGATTTGATGTTACACATAATGCTATATGGAAAATGCAAAAGAACATGTGGAAAAGGCAGGAAGTAACTTTTCTGTTTCACTCGGATAATCCTGCATTTTGAATACATGGAGCAGAAAAATACTTCCATTCTCACTAACTTTTACCACACTGGATTTGTGAATCAAGAGGTGTGACAGGGTGCCCACACAAGTCTGATTTTGAAAGGGACTAAAAAGACGAGTGGCTTAGTGTTGGAAAAGAGGATATTTCAATCACCAAGATAAAGTATATGAGTAGGAAGTCCCTGTGTGGGGGCAGGCTTAAATCCAATCAAGCAACCCAACATGTTCTGATTACTGAAAGTCTTGATTTTATACTCTGACAAGCTGAACAGTGTGTATTAGGACTATAAAGCCTGTGCCCACACTTGCATGTATGCTTTTTTTTTTTCGACCTCAGAATGGAGTGGTTATATCTTATCCAATTATAGAGCCCATTCATAAGTGCTGATTCTCACCCTCTGGATTGAACTGTGAATCTAACAACTGCTCTTTGTGCTTATGTGTCAGACTGTGTTGAGGGAGGGGAGCCTTGTGAGGGACTTTAGACTCTCAGGTAACTTGATTAGACAATGACTTTACCCTCTTATTATCTGTGACCACTCTTATCCTGTTCATTTCTGCTAATGTTCACCACAACGCCCGTGCCTGCCTATACTATGCACAAAGCATCCCGGCTGCCCCTGGCTAAAATACAGCACCCCGACTGACACAAGGCAGTAAGCACACCCTCACAAATCCACCCTTGACCAACAGACATTAACTTGGATAGACAATATTGGTGTGTGGTGCTGTAAAATGGCCAATCAGCATGGTAAAGCCTGTTAATGTGGGAAGATGACACCACTCTGCCTGAGTGCAGGAGACAAGCGATAGCCATGTGTCCTCTGTAATTTGTTTCCCTGTTGACAAAAGAAGGAATTTGCGGTAATGGGACAACAACAACAATAAGAGTGAACAGAAAAAGACAGATGGGTCTGCCAGCTCCAATTCTTTCTGCACCATCTATTCTTTATCTTGGCCTTGCAGCACATAAATATTCAAATAAGGTTCATTTATCAATGCTTCTCTTGGAATAGATGCTCTGGATGAAATGGCGAGAATACCGCCCCCATTCACACACCCAACATGGCACTGACAAATATACAGAAACGTTTACCATTACACATCTCTCTTCAACAGCACTTTTGCCCCGACTCTGGCTTTCAGCTGTCTTCTGATTGGATTCATCCCCTCTGACATATTCAATCAGCCACAGCTGCTGTGGGCAGATTGGCAGATTGGTAGTGTGATTACCACCACCAAGCATGCTCGCTGAGGGCAGTTTTATTTAAAAAAAAATGACACACATGTACACGATGACACTTGCACACAGACATATGTGTGCACAGAAGCATGTCTGCACACATACACACGGGTACAGTATGGTATGACGGTCACATTTTACCAGCAGTTTGGGCTTGTTATGGTCACTGTGGTCTGCCTTCCGGTAATCTGTTTTAGGTGTTTTATTCACAGCTGATGTAAAATTCCATGAAACATGAAAAGACTGTTAAAGAATAATAAGGACTGTTGTAAAACATTGATGACAACACTTACAGTTCCAAGTCAGATCACACGTATGTCTTAATAACATTTTACATCTAATACGTTTATAATTCAAACTGTTTATACACTTACTGACTGCTGCATGTGTTGCTTGGTGCACAGAGAAATCTCAGGTCTTTGCATGTGGTAAAAGACTTGCATTTGAATGGTTACTATTGCATTTTATACCACTGTTGTGATCTGCTTGGTGACTCTATATGATGCATATTTTAATACAATTTAAGAATTAAATCAGCTGTGAGGAAAACAATATGACAGAGTTTTTCTTTATTTCATTAATGGTACCGTAATAGCAGGTACTAACACTGTTATGACCATCGCCACAGCCTATGACTCTGATTGCATCTGCATCACTGACAAATATTTCACGTTGATATATTGTTAAAAGCTGTTACCATGTACTATAACCAGTACTATAACTTGCAACAATCAACAGTAGTTTTTTTTTGTTGTTGTGTAAAATCTGTTTTATAGAACCGACTAGTTTCAATAATCTGTTTTGAATAATCAATTAGTCGATCAACATAAAATTAATCAGTGACTGTTTTAATCATCAGTTAATCATTTTACTACTTTTCAAGCAAAAATCCCAAATATTCAGTGATTCCAGCTTCTAATTTGTTTTGTTTTATATCAGCACATTGAATATGTTTGTTTCAATGCTGATCAGACAACACTATCAATCTGATAGAAATGTAATTTTGAGCTCTCAAGATTTTTGTCATTTTTTTGACAGACTAATAAATTGATTAATAAAGAAAGCAATCAACAGATTAATCAGTAATGGAAATAAGCATTAGTTAGAAAACTAATCTTTTTTAATATATTTTTTTATTTTGCATTTCTACATTTTATTTTGAATTACAGTCACATTTCTATTTTCAGCTTCACAAATAACAGTTTAAATGCATTACAATGATAGAGGAGATACAGTTTTTACATTACAACACCCTGCTATTATGATTGGTTCCACCTGCACTCGTTTGATGAAGTCATCCATAAATAGAACTTCCCATCAATCAGGACTCCAACATGTGCTCTGAAAGATTAGCTTTTTCACGGCTATTGAATCGCACCCATTACGTCTTTAACCCTTTACTTCTCTCTCCTACCTTCACTTACAGTGTTGGCCTCCAAGCAGACATACATAAGCTACAGTAACCATGCCATCTAAACCAGAGACGAATCTTGGAAGCGGAGCAAGAGCCTGCCTGAGAAGAAATCACCTGATTCTGGGGAATACTAGGGAAATACTGGAGGACTTCCAAGCTGCTACAGCAGAGAGGACTGGGGTGGAAAGATGGGAATTTTTCACTCCATAAACAGAAAGGATGTCATATTTTTCTAGAGAATCAGGTAAAGGCTTGAATGCCAAATTTATGAGAAATTAGTAGATTTGTAGGAAGGAAATGGGAGATGTAAGGTAATTTTCCTCTTCCCACCCTTTCTGAGACACAAGTGAGTGTTGAATAGTGACGTTTCCAATATGCAGGCTGAGTGAACCACCTGAAACCTACAGTATGTTTTCCTTCTGAAGTGTATAGCACACAATTTCAGTTCTCTCTAAGGCTGAGCCGTTTGTCTCATTTCAGCAAAAACAGGGGAAAAAAGTGTTCCGTTTTTGTTAAAGTCAAATGCAGTTCACAAGATGAAACAGTATAAAAATATAGTCATTATTTTTGGTTACTGGTATTATTGAGGTTGAAGCTGCAGTACTCTTCAAACTGTACATGCCTTACTACAGTACATTCAGTATTCCTACATGAACTAACCATATCTGAAACATCGGAAGATAAATCAGTGGGTCATCCTAGTTTTTTTATAAATGTTTCATAATAATGATGATGATGCCATCATCGTGGCAAACCTAGTGTACAGTCCCAGAGCATGCTTGTGGGAGCATCACGTGTACTGTGCTGTGTTGTCAACGTCTATGGAATGCAACATTTGTCATGGTTGTCATTCACAGTGGAGATGTCATTTTGGACCATTACCCACTGGATTACCCTCTGCTGAATAAAGAGTAATTTCAAACACAAAATGAGCAAAACTAAAAACAAATTGCCATGGAAAACCTTTATAGTTTACACCAAACTCCATAAATGTCAGTCAGGACTTAGAGACTTGTCGACATGCCGGATTTATTGGCCCTTACTTATCATGCGCTTGTTAAAGCCGTCGCAAATTCAAGCAGTTGGAGGATTGTGAGAAGTTTCCCCATTTTAAACTTCCATTTCTTAACAAATTAATAACACATTTGCATTTTGCATTCCCTCCAAAAACTATACTATACAATTGTATTTCCATATTACCCTGTGTTCTCTATATTTGTCGATTTCTATCTTTTAAGATATAATTAAAAAAATAATTCCTAATAAATATAGCAGTGGTACTAGCATTTAAAGTATATTCTGTTTTTTTAAGGAATAAAACAACACACCAGTCTGTTGTCATGCCAGATACGTTGTTTTTAAAGCTTGACAGTATTACATGGGTGATTTGTGGTAGATGTACAGGTAATCTGTGTTTCTTGCAAAGGATTCTTCCTCTTCTGGGTCATGAATTTTGAAGCTACAGTGGAAATGATTAATGAGAGGTTTAAAAAAATGTTAGGTTCCAAATTAGGCTCATGTAGCTACTCATCATGTATATCCATTTGGAGAAAGTGTAAGCTCAGTTCCATCAACAACCAAAATGTTGAAAGATAATTAGGTAAATGACATGCATAGCATTTCCTAAGGAGTGTTTTACTATTTAACAGGCTCAATAAGACCTTTATAGCCTATGTTATGTTCCTTGGGAATAGTATTTTAAAAACCAGGTCAGATTTTCACAAATAAATACATGCAATAGTCACTTAATTTAGCCAGGGGCAGACTTTGTTATAGTAAACCTGCATCAAGTGATAGGTCTGGTCATAATGTGGACCCCACTGAGAATTAACACTAAAATCTGCAGCTCTATGCAGCTTTTAGCTTCATTTAGCACATTGTTTGGGTTTTTGGCCAACACAAAGACTGAATGGTTGAGTCTTAAGGCTTTCACCAACCACTGGTATAAAAGTATAGGTGTTCATTTACCCAGAATCATACAGCAAAGAAATGAAGTAAACCAGTGATATGGAAATGAAAGTTCAGTATCTAGCGACCCTTAGAACACAGCTAAAAGACCAGTAATTATTAGACTTAGTTTAAGTCAGACCGTCAAATGCTCTATGCTCTCAGCTGTTGACTGCTAATTTATTTTCACAGTAAAATATAACCTCTAATTTTTAGATAAAAAACGGGGATGTATAGGTGCTTGATAACTAAGGGCCAGTGCCTTCATTCTGTGCCTCATACACATTAAACTACTCCTGCCATTCTTTCCATGGATCCTTCATGGTGTTGTTTATGCTGCATCCATTCTGTTCAAACACAAGGAAGAGAGGATTCAGTGTACAATTTATAATTAAGTGTGAATACATTTCTGTCTGCAGTCTCTGAAGTATTTGTCATAAACAGTAACTCTGGAATTTGTCTCATTAAATGTTATCCTCAACAATGCAAAAATATGTATGTTGCATGTCAAAACTCATAACAAATCATGTGAACAATTTGAGAGAAATGTATAATGTCCAGAAGGAAAACTACTGCAGAGGATTATAAATAATATTTTGGTTTAATCAATGATTCTCTCAGCTCTCAGCTTCAACAAAAGTCTAGGGTGTTGCTGCAAATGTTTTTTTTCTCATCATTTGATAAAGTATTGTTTGTGGGATTGTTTGTGTTTGTGAATATGATAATTTAATGCTTTTTTGCCACACCCCCCACCCCCTTTATTTTTCTAAAACACTTGTCTGTGTTACAAAATAGAATATGTAAGTGCTGACTGAAATTAAATGGCAAGTTAATGTACGTTATTAAAATGGTTGATCATGTCTGCTTTATGTACTGAATTATTTAAAAAAGAAAGATAAAAAGAATTACAGTGCCTGGATATTTATGAATTATCTATAGAAAAAAAAATGTGTAGAGCATGTTCATTTTTATACAAGATATTTCTAATAAAAGACTGTTTTGCTAATAAAGTGTTGCTGTTTCTTCTTAGCATGTGTCATTAGTAATTCAATATAAAACAGAGTATAAGTAAAGAAAATCTTCTTCCATAAATGGGTAATGACTATAATAATCATTTCAATCCTTTTTATCCTTCCTCCATCTCTTGTTAGCACACCCACAGCCTCTACCTGTGTGTTATCGGCTGAGCCTTCCCTTTTAAGGAAGATGGAGTCTAGCAGCTTTGTTTTAGGTATTTCCCGGTGTGTGAGGGGTAGCTCAGGTTACCAGAGGTAGTACGTTTCGGAGTTGCAAAACGCACAAATTAGTTGATTGATCGTGTTTTCTTAAGTAATTTGTTTCTGTGGAAAAACAATTATTTGTAGTTGCTAATTTTTCACAGTTAAGCATTGACATAGTGCTATTGTACTAGGCTAGTTCAGTTAACAATAGACACATTGTACAGAGTTTTTGCTTTGTTTCAGCTTTAAAATGTCACAAATATGGACAGTTTCTATCTTTTTCTCTGGACAGTCTCTTCTCTTCGTCTCTTGCCATTTTCTCTCTCTTCCAAAGCGCGTTGCGTGACAGTAGTAATCATCCGTGCAAAAGAACTTGTATGGATTAAACAAAGCTTTTGCATAAATGATTTTTAGTATTCCAGTTATTCAAGGAATCGTTTCAGCCGTATTGTACACAGAACAACGCAGGGGCAACAGCATAGCAGGCTGTACACTTTAAAAACAAAGTCTTAAAATGATGACACACCACAAAACTAGCTCTGATGGAAGCAGAGAAGGGTGACAGAAATGGAGGCCAGCATGCTCCAGTCTGTTGACTGCTCCGATGCTCTCTGCTCCCGTGATGACTGTCAGTGAATTCAGCTAAACCACTTTTGAATCAGATGGTGGTACAACCTCCTCTACTACCGTCCACTGTGATTGACTCTTCAGGCTGACAGCGCTGTTAGCAGCCCAGCAGGAGAGACGCTGCGTGGTGCACTGGAATTCTATAACTGAACTGTGAACAGCACATGTTTACTTTCTATAAATGTGGAAATCTCTTTTCACATCACAGATGACAAAGACAGGCATTAAAAAGTGAGGTAGACTAAAACATGAGACTCGTGTAGGCTGATATATGAATTTAGTGTGGCGCTGAAGTAAAAAAAAAAAAAAAAAAATAGTTGAATTTTCTATTGACCAGCCCAATCTGATTCGACTGACAAAATTCTTAGTTGGGTACAGCCCCAGTATTCTCTAAGTTAACACTATACGCAAGACCACGGTAAAGGCATGTTATGTGCCTTTGTCATGTAGATGCACAGATTTGAATGAGCTATTAACGTTAATTACCTTAACTTATTTTGTTATAATTAGAGCATCATTTTATGGGTCAATTGCCGAAATTAACTATTGTAATCAACTATTAATTTATAGTTATGGTATATCAAGCAAAAACTCCCAACTCTCCAGTGTTAGGATTTGTTGCATGACTTTGAAATACAGACTTTGGGAAACTTTACAAGGAATTTCCAGTATTTTCTAAAATTCTATTGACTAAATGATTAACCACTTAATTGAGAAAATAATTTGCCAATTAATCAACAATGAATACAATCATTAGTCACATATTATACAGTATTAATTAAATGTGTAAAGCATTAAAGAGTAATCAATGCCCTTGTTGTCATAATGACTTTTATGGAATGGCAAATTCAGGTTATATGAATTCACCTAGAGACTTGTACATCATTTATCAACATTGTTTATCACATTCAGATCACATACAACAGCTCACATTGAGATGGCCCAGAGCTAACCTTCTACGTCCAGTGAAAGAATCAGGATTTTCCATTTTATCATTTTCACTGCTGAATCATAAAGCCATGTGATTTTGCCAGAGGAGAAGCTGTCAGTAGGATTTTTTTTTATTTCACCTTTACTAAATTGGAAACTAACATGGGAAAGATCTCAAGGACACTGTTGAGTAGTGACTTCTTTTTGTGTGTCATTATATTGACAACAATGCAGAAACGGTCAAATATGAGCACAAGTCAAATACAGCACACAATTGAAAGTCATTCTATGTAATGCTGCATGTGGCATGTGTGAGTTTCACCAGTAATCAGTGTAGCCACAGCCTTAACCTCACTTTAATGGTGGATCAATAGGGTCACCTACACCTGCAGCGTAAGCCTTGGA